GTCCGTTTGGGATTAGGGTGTTGTGTGAACACATGGGGACACTCAATGATTCAGAGCGCCCTGGGCACCCAGAAGCGTGGGTTAATGCAATAACCAGCTCAAGGGTATCGTGGGAACACAGGATCGGAATGGACAGGTCATTTAGCCTAACCCTCCCCCCCCCCCACATTGCAAGTCACAGTTGATCACTGAATCCTTCAGCGAGGTTGTCCAACTGAATGAGTTCAGGGGGGCCCACTGCCCCCCCATTTCTCTGACTCCCGACCGCTGGGTAAAAGCAGTTTTCTACTCCTTCCTTCAAGTCTCCACCGTGCCCGTTGAGCTTCTCCAGGAAAAATGCACCCAGCGGCTTCCGCCCTGCCTCACTGGCATGCCAGAGGGGAAATGGACCCTGTTAACACCCATTGTGGGTCTCCAGATTCTCAAGTGCTGGTGGTTTGTATCATGCCCGAGTTTAAAACAAGTCTGGGGCCTTTGGGGTCCAACGTCCTGTGGGAGCCCAACTGTTGTTGAACCAAACCATCAAGGGTGCAGACAGGGTGTCCGGGGGAGACCCCCCCCAAATCAAGATGGTCACAATTGCCCTGTTCCCTTTTTTACAAACATTGCATGTGACACACATAAAAGACAGCGGGGCTTTGCTCGCACAAGCGTGGCCTCTATCGTAACCATTCTGGACTCTCTCAGGACCCCGCTGGGGCTCCTCTGCATGCTGTGCAAATACGGAAATTGTTTTCTTATCAAGGTTTTACATACTGTGTAAACCCGGCCATGAACTGCTTGAAAATATGCATTTGTTTAACCTTGGAGAGGGGGGGTTGAAAATATGCTAACCACGGCAGATGATGGGGTTTCAAAATCAGCAACTGTCCCATAAGCATTAGCATGAATTAAAATTGTGTAGTTTTTATTCCAATAGCTAGTTTTTTAATGATCGGAAGATGAGTTAGCCAGTGTTAAGCAACTGGTCTGTTTACTAGTTAATATCGCTCTTGATTGCAGGGCACCGAGAAAAGAATTCTAAGATAGTAAAATGTAAAACCATGAGCTTAACGTAACAGGAAAATCTGAACAATAACACGGCTCTTACGGTTTGATTTTTTAAATTGTGCCGAAGTCCCCAAACACACGTTTAGAAATGGATAAAAAGGCTATTCTTTGCTTTTAGGTGAAACAAACTGGGAAAACCAACACTATGAGGAAATAATTAGAATTACACTTTTTAAACAGTGGGGGCTGCTTGAAAAAAATGTGTTCACCTTTATCAGTCCCCGCAAAAGTGGACACAATGAGTTAGGAGTTGGGGGGCTCCTTCCAATGGTAAACTGAACAAGGTCCTAATTGTGCCCCGTGCCCCCCACCCGTTTGTGCCAGGGCCCATTCCCAAGGAAGCGTTGGCATACAAAACGCCCGTCCTGCTGGTGAAACATTGTAAGGCTACCAGTTTGCCTGCAA